TAGATAATTATTGGCACTACATATTACTAAGTTTAATGTACAGTATGATACATCAAGGTCTTTATAATACATATATACATGTGTATAGTTTGTGATATCAAGTTTATTAAGTTTATTAATTATTAAGTTTATCTAATATTATGTGCTTATTCCTTTCCATTTCTTAGTTCCTGGTTTTCCACTTGTTCACTCCCTTTCATTCTTTCTTCCTCCTTTTATTTTTTTATTCGTTTTGTTTCCATTATATTTACCTTGTAATATTTACACAAAAACAATTCTTGGCCACATGTCATAGCAATAGACTTCTTTATATTAGGTGTATTTTTTCCATTCTAGGCCATATTTCATTCCCTTGAGCATTATTTCTGTGTTTAACGGTTGCACATGAGGAGACATATGAATATTATTCTCAAGAGAATGACATGTGGTCTGAAATAGAGAAAATGTGCCCAAGGTAAAGTAGTCTGTTATTTATTACACATCATTATAAGACGAACCATGCTGAGTTCTTTAACCCCCTTTAATTCCTTAATCATCTCTCCTGGCGGGCTCCCACTTCATAGGGGTATTTGTTACCAGGTGAAGCCTCATTCTCTTGACAGTTTTCAATGTGAAAAGTGTCATGGCGCTCTTGGGTAGGCGTGCCTTGTCTTTTAATAACGCCACCAGTGGTTTCTACTTTTGATCTATCGAAAATGCTACCAAATCTAGACGGTTCTCCAGCGGTGTTCAACATAAATATGGATTTAAAAGCTAATCTGTATTCATCACTCCTAATAGCATAAATCCATGGATTGATAGATGAACTAATGTAGGAAACGAACGACACCCAGGCCCAAATGGACTGGTAATAGTTCATACGGCAACGATCTTTGTTAAGGATTTGAAGACAGTTGATGATAAAACTGGGTAGAAATAAGAAGACAAAAACTACAATTATGACAGCGGCTGTCCAGGTCGCTTTGGTTTGTCTACGCTTGTGGTTTATCTGTTTTTGTAAGGTTGGGAGTCGATTCTGAGAAGCAATGCGTCTTGTGTGTAAAAAGGCCGTTTTACACATCCTCACATAGCAAAACGATATCACTGTTAGCGGGACTACCACTGTAACGAATGCGCAAGCACTCCAAAGACTTGTCATTTGTTCATTTGGAAGCCAAAATGTCATGGATCCAAAAAAGATGGAAAACGCCCAGTTAAAAAATACGATTAAAAAGCATTTAAAACTCGTAACGGTTTCCTTGTATCGAAGAGCCATCATAACTGCCAAAAAACGATCAAACGTTACTGCAGTAAGACTGAAAGTAGTTGCGGTCGTCAATTGAATCCATAAAAACGATTGCAGTTTCATCCAGATGCCGTCAAATTGCACCCACGCTTGAAGAGTATTCATGACAATGTTCAAAGGGTTCATCAGCAGCCCGACCAATAGGTCTGCAGCTGCTAAGGAACCGAGGAAGAAGTTTGACACGGTCTGAAGATAAGTCTTGCGGTAAATTGCGACAAGAATGAGTGTATTCCCACCAACAGCAAAAATTGCAGAAACTCCATTTAACACTGCTAAGACCATGGCTGAGTCATTAGATAGGTAATTTGGACATTTCTTTGTGAAATTCATTTCCTTTTTCAAAGATCAACAAAGCCTGTGCTGTTGAGTTTGCGGTCCGCAACTTTTTTTTCTTCGGTTTCTGCTTCTTTTGAACAGATATCTCAGTCCTAAAGTGATATGAAAACTCTGGTTATTCTCACCCTAGAAATATTTAAAGCAAAGAAAATTGTAAATTAAAAGGTATTATCCAAAATATTGTCTTAACGTACGACGTCCTCTCACAAAACTCACTGATAGCGAGAGGGGTGAGTAAACTCCACCAATAAATGCGACACACTAGACATGATTTTATCATTCAAAATACCACTGTAGCAATTAATTAAAAGTCTTTTAAAGCTTTAAGATCCAAAAGACGCGCGCGTAAATAAAAAACATACCAGATAGTATCTGTACTGAGCACAGGCAGCAGTCTCTCGTCTTCCCTCTTCAAAAGGACCACTTGCAGCTGCTGAATAATAAGATGAATCATGAATGATCTTGAATTTATAGTTTGTTCATGAGGTTAACACTTGTCAAGTAACTGAACAAGTACTAGAGTGCTGGGCTTAAAAGGAAACTGAAAACGAAGGATACTAAGTGCAGGTTTATTTTATAAATGTCTAGTGTAAAATCAGTAAATGACTATTGCATTCATCATCTGCTCAGCTACAGTTTTAATTAATCTCAACCGAGATTATGAGCGGAAAAAACATTTCTTTGTTTAACTACAGGGAAGCGGCGTGAGACAGTCTCTCTCTTTCTCTCTCTTTCTCTCTCTCTCTCTCTCTCACACACACACACACACACATTTTTTTTGTATTTTTTTAAAAATTGTCAAATTGCTCAGTTCAGAAAGAAATGATGGTTGTTAAATTTAGGGAGTGAAATTTCATCGTTTTTATGTAGACTGACTGCAATATATATAGTCTATTTTCTCTCTATCTTTTTATATTTCTTTCTCTTTTTCTTATTTTATTTTTCCTGTCGCTTTCGCTTTTCCATGGTTATTGTCTATAACTGTAGTCCATACATATGTCAGTGTCATACTCTCGAGGCGGGGTTCAATCTTGTACGATATACGTGATGTGATACTATTTATTCTAATGTCTGAGTTTGTTTTTTGTAAAAGATGTTTACAAGCACAACCTACAAACTAATTCTTTTAATTTTGAACTGGTTTTATTAATTTTTTGCTCGGTTTTCATTGGCGCGTAACAGTTACATCCTGTTGTTTGAACGTCTAATAAAACAAGACGGTTTGCTCTTTGATATCCTTTTCTATTGTCTATTGTATTGTTCACATAATTGCTTTTCGTTCATCCAATTTGTTTTTATTTCCGATTACAAAGTTTTGATTTTAATATTCTATATGACCTCTCTCATTTAGCCTGCTTACAAGCCTTTTGGTCGGCTGGCTTTCCATCTTACTGATTAAAAAGAGCGAGCTAAGTGATCTATTGATATAGATGCATAGTAAAAAAAACATGACTCGCAAAAATGAAATTCAATTGGCTCGATTGACGTCATACTCCATAGCTTTAACTAGTTGAACAAGCACCATAAGACAGCTTAATATTCACACAGGAAGGTTTCAACCATGTCAGTACCGCCGGACAATGGATGATTTTTTAATCTCAATTTCTCAATAACATATTATCGCGATTAATAGACTGAAATACTAGAGACTGAAGGTTTCAGAGGACCTATACGAAAGTCACCGCCCAGTGCAACTGTCTTGAAATCAGTATACGACCGTTACAAAGATTTCGCATTTTGAGAAAAAAAGCCAGTGCCTTAATTATTTAATTAGGTAAGAATTTTTGACTTTTAATTAAAGTCATCCGGCCCAAGGGAATGAAATAACAACTGAACTGAACAGATGATAACAGCGAGTGTTGGTTGGTTTAACAAGACACACTAACCGAAAGACAACTTCATGCTACCAATATGACGGGCATGCATGAGACACAACAATATCAAAAGTGTTTCGAATTCGTAATATTTCAGATAATATTTTAGCTTAGGCCCTGGCTAAACGAGGAAACATGTTTCCAGAACATGTTTCCCTAAATGTTTCCTAAGGTGGCAAAACTGTCAGGAAACATCGGGAAACAATGTTTCCATGCGTCTTGGAAACATGAAATGTTTCTGCCGCACAGCAAAAACATTTTTTGCGTCTTGGAAGCAAAATTCGTGGCGCGCAGCAATGTTTCGCATGTGGCTAAACTGGGAAACATCGAGCGGGAAACATGCGCGCGGTGAATATGTTTCTGAAACATGTTTCCTCGTTTAGCCAGGGCCTTACATACATTAACCTACGAAAATTTATTACACTGATTTTCGTCATTCTATTGTAAGAGTATCATCGCCGGTGTATTACTGATCAATACTGAACTGTGGAAATAGTTCAAAAAAGCCTTTGAGGTTGGCACCTTAACACACGATATTCTAAACTATCCATTCTAAATTAACACCTAAGTTTTCTTTAGAGTAAATATCCCGCGAAACTAACTTCCTCTGTTAGAACAACTAGTTTGGCTTGTGTCTTGTATTAGGGGACTAAATCTTGTTGAAAAATTGTCAAAACCCGAAAGAATAAAAGAATAAAACTAGAAATGAAATTAGGACAGAATATATAATTGTCAGGAAACGTCAGTTTGGTAGAATTTGTCGGTAAACGATGCGAGGTATAGGCTGTAATTAAGGCTATGAAATCTCTGTTGTTGCTTCGTTTTTCAGAACGCAAGAAGTGAAACGCGTTTTCTGACATTATATCTTCAAAAGGAAAAGGGGAAAAATCCGCATAAGCATATAACGATATTGAAATAATAATATATGAATATCGTAAATATACTAGGACAGGGTTTCTTTCTACGAAAAAGACTGAAAAGAAGATTGATGCAGATATCGCATTCAGTATTGATCATGCATAACTTGCACAGCTCAGTCCAAAACCATTTCAATCAAACTAACTCTTTACTCTTTGATCAAGAAAGTTATACTTACGGTTGATCAGTGTACCATGTTTTTTTTCCACTAGTACTCATAAAAAGGTGTAAGAGAAGTGACCATCCGCGTGAAACGTGCACTGAGTTATGACGTCCCATGCAGATCACAGCGAGGTCATGACGACTGCAAATCCTTCACAAAACGAAATGAGACTCGTAATTAGTAATATGAATGAGTAAAACTAGCCTAACACTGGTCTGTTAGATTGGGGAAATAGGTCTTTGAGGAGCAGCTGGTCTTTAGAAGCATAACCAATCAGAAACAAGAATGCTATTAATATATACAGGAACGGAGAATAGATTTATTAAGGGGGGTAGGGGTACGAAAAAATCGAATGTGATATAACAGTTTGTTTTTCCTTTGGCAAACGAAATAAAATCTCAAGTAGAACGCTTCACTCACAGACAACTGACAGACTGTTCCTTTGTTATTACAGCGGACTGGGGCTTCGACAAACTCAAAAAAACTCTTAATACGTAAAAAAAAAAAAAAGGATTTGACCAAAAACCCGTGAGGTACCGCAGCTTTTTTGTTGTCGCTTTTTCTCCGGTAACATATTTCCCGTGAAATGCTGCGGTTTAATAATATCTTCTTTTATTTAAACGTTGACTCCGATATATGTCGATTGTATTATTTTTATGTTCAGTTTTTAGGTCTATCTTGCAGCGCAACTACTTGTGATAGAATTTGTTCAAACTCGGCAGACAGAATTACGGTAGTCTCATGATTTCAATTCAAGGAATCTGAAGTTTTATAGAAATCGATCGATTTTTGAGCGAAGAGGAAACAATACGATCTTATATACCGGGTATCCTAAAATATACCCAGAGGTGACGTATCCGATACTCCGGCACCTAATAGCAGGGGATCTGTACTCCGACATAACTGAGTCAATTTTGGTCATTCTTACTAACCTTTAATAATTTCTTTACGACCCACTTCACCTGCTCATCTATCAAATGAACTACTTGTATTTGATTCACTGCTCTCAAAGGAAGCTGAGCTGAAGGTGCGCACTTGTCTACGTCTGATTGAGTGCTCCGTCTTTTTAAGGTATTTGCGCGCCCATGGGTTAGACAGGTATGAGATAGGGCAGACGAACAGTAGCTTAGTTAATAACAGAGGATCACTGATGAGTGACCTTTTCGTCCTCGACAAACCATGGATTCCAATTTGTCCAGTCAGTCAAATCTAACTGATAAGTTCTTTCGTCTTTTCCCATAGAAGACGAAAGCTATTTTAGCTTCTTAAATAATTTTTATCTGCCTTAGTTTACGATTACAAATTTCGACCTTACTTTATTCAGTTATTGGTTTCGCTCGCAAGTATATAAGGTCCACGTAAATCTTGATCATGGTTTTCCTTCTGGTTGTTTTTGTCACACAAGTCTTGTTCTACTGTGTCAATACATTTCGGGTTCTTTATACTCGTCCCTTTTCATTACTCGTTTAGTCGTACTTCATCACGTGATAAAGATGGTGCTACAGACTCGCCCACCCAGTTCTAGCGCGAAGACCCAACCTCGTACCCAATACCCTTATTTCTTACTGCGCATGCTCATTTATTTCGTCGAGCATGTGCAGTAGGAAATAAGGGCTCTGGGTACGAGATTGGCGAAGACCAAGACAACACAGGCTCGGGTACGGGAGCGCATGCGCATGCACAGCTCGTTGCTGACCAGTTAATGCAAGAGGAGCGCAGGCTCTGTGAGCGAAAACATGCGTCTGCGATCATACAAAAACAGCAGTATTTCGCCCATTTTCAAGATGATACTCATCGTGTAACCATGAATCATTAATCCACTTTAGAAAAACTCCTGTTTCGTTTCGTCCATTCACTATTTTTCTTTACAACGCATCATTCCATCAGGTACTTTAAAAAACACCATTTGGAACTGAAAGACCTTAAGAACAACTAAATAAAGGGCAAAATTAATACTTTCTCCAYCTTCATGAATTGTTGATTTAACTTTCTGTTACTATGGTGATCTTTAAACCATCACGGAAGCCCGCAGATGACGATTACCATAACTCATACTGTCTAGCATATCAGGCGGGTAATCTAGTATAATTGTATTAGAAATACTTTTACCATCAGAAAGCTTCATCCTACAATAAAGTAGCCATTATTTTACGAAGCCCAAGGGGCAAATTTACCTGACATTAAGACAAAATACTGATGAATATTTAAGCTGGACCGGTATATTTTGTTACTAGAATTATTCATTCATTTGCAGGAATTTTCAGTTTTAAGCGAAAGACATTATATTGGAGCGGTTTTAGCGTGGCTTGGACAGCAGGGTTTTTGACGCTAAGTTTCAGCATAATATAAAACATCAGCACGAGATCTTTGGGCTTATGCATTGAACTACATCATCAATTAAATATATGCTTCGCGATTATTTATTATGATGTATTTGTTTTGGGGATTTTTATATTGACCTTACAAAAGATGATGAAAAATGCTCTTCGCGGTAAGAATATTGAATTAGTCCATTAGTCTGCTGTGTGTGTGTGTGGCGTGTGGTGATGAATTGAAGCCATCATTGTCGGAATAACCCAACGCTATTTTCTTTTTTAATTTACCTTATGTCCGTTTGAATGTATGTCTAAAGCGATAAATAGCTTAATTATTTCCTATATATTCTACCGAAGTGTCAAAAAACACCACAAACAATTCCTATAGTTTTTTATAGTTCAGTTAATCTCATTAGCTGTATAGTTTGCTATACAGTCCCTGTCACAAGTCTTCTCCACAGCACTTCTCTCATCTTCGCCATGTTGATCTTTTATCTTCAGCGTCTCTTGGCAATTATCTTCAACGTTATTAATAACGTCGTCAAGTGGTTTTCTCGCTGATTTCACGTTAACTTGTCTCGTCTTATTGTCATTATTCACATTGAACTTCTCATCTGATTCAACTGACATTCCACTTTCAGTGTTCTCATCTCCATTTGTTTTTGTTCTCGTGGATTCTTCGTTTTCCCATTTGGTATCGTCACAGCGGTGTTCATCTTCATCCAGCTTATTAACTTGATGTTTATCTTTAGTTTCAACACTCTCCACTTCCTTAATCGTACCAAGCACACTGTTTGACTTTCGCGTCGTCTGAGATTGCTTATCAATAGAAACCGGCCCAATCACTTCCAGATAATTCTGACCAGTTTGGAATGAAACCGCTTTACGAAAAGTATTATTATCAGAATTCCGTTGATTGATTCGTGTGTTCCTCTTTCTTTCTGAGCTATTTGTTCCCGTTAGTGATTTCAATTCACCGGAAACTTCAAGATCAGAAAAAGAATCTTCATCATGTTCTTGTCTACCAATCGTTTTGAGTGGTATACTCAAGCTTTTTGTATCCTTATCTTCTTGAACCCAACCGTTTACGCTTCGTTTGCATTTTTTAGATTTATTTGGTATCTGTAATGTTTGAGGTTGATTTTTGCGCTGATTGGAAGGCGAGGGAGTGGTATTTTTAGGATTAAAAAACGTCTGACTTCTCTGTGGACGTTCAAGCCGGTCATCATCATCACTGTAGGTTCTCCCAATACAAGCAAGCATATTTCCTCCGTCGTTTTCTTGAAAATAACGATATAAATTCGAAATAGGTCTAGAAACAGACCAAGAGCTCTTGGATTGTTCAACAGAAGGTGTGGCAACAGTTCTTCCGAATTTTCGCTTGAATCGTCTATTCATGCGGTTCATCCCTGCTCGATACTGACTGGTTATCAAAGCATACAAGAAAGGATTACACGATCCATTGACTAGAGACAAAACTGTAGAAAGTGTTATGACTGATGGAGGTATTGTGATATCCGAAGCAATGCTTTGAAATAGCTTAACGATATAAATAGGAAGCCAACATGTCGTGTATAAGCCCACTACTAGGTACACTAGTCTAGTTTTTCTCGTTGATACAGCTCTAACACGTTTGCCTGTATCTTGGATGTGAATAGCCACCATGTTTTTTGCATGTCGTCTTGCTACTAGGTGAATTTGAGTGTAACAGAACACAATAACACTGAATGGAATAACTACACTTGTACAGAACATGAACCAGAGAAAGCCATTGCGATCTGGGAGGTCCAACGAGCATTTGAATTGTGCAGAATCGAACGTATATCGTCCCCAACCAGCTAAAGGACACAAAGCGATAAATAATGTCTGAAGCCATATCCAAATGATGGCAATAATAGTTCGACGTCGAGTGACGATATTCTCATAGTATAGACAATTAACAATGGAATGATAACGGTCTAAGGCTATGACAGCTATAGTGAGTGAAGAAGCACACGAATATGTAGCATCAATAAACCCAACCAGCTCGCAGAGCACGCCAAATCTCGCCTCGTGACGGCCAATAGAATCAATAACCAGAGGCAGCAGAAGGCAGCCAGCTATTAGATCCACTAGACATAAGTTTGTTATGAAGACATTGGTGTTGGACCGTAAGCGAGGATTGCAATAGACTGTCATTAAAACCATACCATTGGCTACGATGCTGATAATGTCGAATAACCCCAACAAGACGATCAAAGCAATTGATATTTCAGGTGAATACAAAGCTACAGTATCAACCGGGTTTGATGTGTCGTTTCCATCCATAAAGCTGATTCCACCGAGGCTTTGGAATTCTTGCTTTCCCGTTAGCTTTGTATCGACATCATCCTTTGCCTCTTAGCTTTTTTCATCAGCATTCTTTATGCTCGACTGTTATTCCTCATTGTTAAAGTTTGGTGAGTTTTCGCTCGGAGTCTTCACTGAAACAGCTTGGAGAATGAATCTCTACTCCGTTCGTAGATATTATACTTGACACGGCGGAACTATGACTTGATTAGGATTTAACAGCATAACCCTGAAAGAAACTAAAAATGATTTCTTGTTAAAAGAGGGTTTAAATGGATTTGAGAAAATAAATAAACATCGCAAGAAACAATTTGTTGGCTTGTATTTCCTGAGGATGCAAACTTTTCCGATCGTTTTTCAATTGAGTTACTGAATATTTCTGTATTTAATAAAAAAAAACCAATCGAGATTTTTCCAGCTTGCTAGTGATATTAATGCTTTGGTATTGAAGCAGTTTACTAACAAAGCTCTTACCATTAAAAGTTAACTTGTGCCTTGACGGTATTTCATTTATATGAATTACGTAAATAAAGCGAAAACCTTTCTGTGACATGTAACATTTAACTGAAACCATCCCCTTCTCGTGGGATAATAAAAAAATGTACAACACTTATAGAATAACAACTATGAAAAATGTATTAACATCAAAGAGTTTCTATTTAGTGAAGAGGCCCTGGCTTTGCGCCCGATTGCTATAAAAAGAACTCATTGTTTAGTATTTAGATTTTGGCGGTTTATTAGTAATACAGTAGATCTGACACAAGCTGTGGAAACCCGACAATACATCAGTGAGGCGATCTTCACGTTGATCGGGAACAACACTATCAACAAAATGGCTTGATTCGTATCTTTTCGTAACGCCGGGTTTTACACAAAAGAAAAACAGAATATAGGAAAGAAAAATCAAGGAAAGCCGGCCAAGTCGTATTCAACGCACACGTACAGATTCTTAATATGCTTCTTTGAAACTCATGCAAATGAGGAAAGCAGGTTGTGAGTAGTTCTGTAGAGTAATTAGGAATGTTATTTATTGAATAGAGGTGAAGAAACAAGCCTATGACCTGACTTATGCGACATGTGTTAGCAAAATATTAAATACCACTCTCAATAATACTGTCGACGGTAGGGGAGCAAAACACTCTTGAATTAATGAGTTAAAAGAACAAGAATAAAGAGGTAAAAATAAACCTAGCAAGATTTGTGAGTCTGAGTGCTTTGAGATATCAGAAAGCTTCGTGATACTCTTTGTCGAACAAGTACGACACTGAATCGGCTTTTAACTGAAAAAATGGGTTTTCAGATCAAAACGAGACCGAAGGCAAAATATACACAAGCTACTTGAAAGCTCTTAGCAATATTTGTGATTTTCAACGTAAGTCATTCTTGTTTTAACTCTATCGAGAGCCGGAATAGATTGTATTAGACTTGTTTTAGCGGTTTTGTATCTGAATAAGAGTATTAATGAATATTTCAATGTTTGTTAAATATCTAACAGTCTTTCTCAATACTTACGATGTATCACAAATGACTGATTGAATCACTAACCAGCTATCGAAGGGGAAAAAAACAAAATTCAACCACATTTGAACCTTACGTTGTTCCTGAGAACAACTCTATCATAATATTTATGAAATTAGTTTTCTTTACTAAGTCATTTACATATGTTTTCAAGTTCTATGGGAAATATTGCTTAGTAAAATGCAAAAAAAGAACGAATAGGCTAATTAGTGTGTTTCCCGTTGACAGGTGACCTGTTCAAAATATGTTCAATTTGCCGATAATGTCAAATCATTCGGAAAGCCCACTGCTTCAGACTCTGACAGACCTACCGTAAATATTCATTTACAATTAGCTTTTGATTCGAACTGACTTTGATTAATGATTTTAGAGGTGGCTTAAGTGTTGTAATAGTAAATCTAGGTAACGAAAAGTCATTTTAAAGCAATAACTTTTTGCGATACATTGTGATTGTATAGTTGAAGTTTCTATGGTTTTAGTTTGGTCTGAGTGTTATGTTTGGTAGAGCTAGTCAATGCTATAGTAAGCGGCATATTTGCTACAGAAAAAATACAAAGCATAGGCACCATAGTAGCACCTTTATTCACCACACTGAGTGCTTGGATCTGTGTGTCTTTTTTGAATCTATCATCAATCTAAAAGACTACTTTGAAAGTTGAATGATATGAAATAAACGGCTGAGTATTTTACTGAACTACTAAAGAAAAAGCTCCCATCGATTCGCAAAATAAGATCGTGATTTTAGATCCATCGATTGCGAAGGAAACACTTATAGATAAATGAACTTCTCGTAAGGTTAAAAGTTAAAACCACTAGCGAAGAAAGTCGCGACATATTCACGTGATATTACGATACCGGACAGAACTTTGCACACTATACCATACTGGAGTACTATATATAACAAGCAAGCATGTGTCAGATAAATACTGTATCATGAAATGATTACCATCACACTTGATCAAAAAGTTAGGCTATTGCAAACAGCTTCTCTATTGTGAGTAATTAATGTCCTTCTTACTTGTGGACTAAAGCAATAATTGACATGCAGTTTGTTACAAACATTAACACTGTGTTACGTAAGTCAACCATACGTACAAAACTTATAATCCAAGTCAATATTCTGTTTTTACCTTTTGGAATCGTTAATTTGTCGTTTGACCTTGTAGCTTTTAACGTGACGGTAACAGCTTAGGTCGATCGCTAACATCCGCGCCGCAGAACAGTTTTATTATGACTTGTAAACAATACCCTATATATTACTACGTTCATACGTTTGCGCGCGCAATACTGTAAACTGCACGACAGCGAGGCTTTCTCAAATGAGACCTCTCTAGCAATATTTTCATACTCATTTAATATATTAATGCAGGGAAGCATGGCTTATTAATGTGAACGTTTAAGAACTAGTCCGTCTATAAGTTGCGCAACATGACGTCGTGCAATAAGTAATTGTTACCGATATGTTATGCATATACATGTATATAATATATTCATCTGTAGAAACAGTCAATGCTTTGCAACACATGAATGTATATTAAATATATATCAAATAAATATCAATATCGTAGAACAGCTTTGGCTAATAGTTTTGTGAAAATTAACTAATGAATGTTTGTTATTAAAATCATGTAAACTGTCTAAATTTTTTCTTTTTCATCTTAAAAGAAAGAAATAAAATTACTTAACAAAACAGAAAATTATTTTCACTCCTCAATTCCCCTGTCATATTATTCGTTTCCTGGGTTTTCGTTAGGTTTTCTTGAACCAATTATTTAAATAGATACAAAGTAACGAGACTGGTTTAGAAGACATGCAGCCTAAGGGCATCAATCAAGCCTTTAGAATATCACTTGTGCTGTTTTGTATCTGACCGATTCAACAATAAATAACACGATAGAGTGACGCAAGTCTTTCTTCATAGTTATTCCGTAACTCATCACTCTATTATGGATAATACCAAAACAAGACCAGAAAATGAATTTATTATAATAAGGAACTGGTTTTTATTGAAGGAAAAACGGTAAATACAACTCAAACAGGCGAAAGAAATAAGAAACACATCGAACACAAAACAATGTTTTTTAAATATATTTGTGCGTTTACAAAATGAAACAATGAAAAATCTTTGTTCATATTAGCAGTCTTTTCGGTTTTTAAATATTTTTTTTCGTTCGTCAGTTGCGTTTCTTATTAAAAAAAACTGATAAAACATGCCTCTAGTTCGGTTTGCTTCCGTACTAAAGCCGGATTTTCCACTTTTCATCTAAAGCGCATGCGCGGGCCAATTAAAGGCCGCCGRACGACATTGCTGGTCCCTTAATTACAAGGATAAGAACCTCGACAAGGAAATAACTTGTGTCAATAACCTTTAAAAACCGATCGCTGAAAAATCATTAAAACATTCTAATTAGTTCTGAGCTGAATACAACCAAGACCATTTTGATACCAGTACGCCGTGATCCGCAGACAAATGATACAAAACCCTTGGGCGACCCTTGGGCCGGGTGTTTCAAAAATCGAGCAAATATCTACAGTCAAAAAAAATTCTATTTTCAAATCAAATAAAACGGGATTTACAGAGTGGCTCTTAATCCACTTAATACAATTGAAATTTAGAACTTTACTGGTACGTTTAGCGGAGAGAGGAAAGATAAGGGAGAAACCCAGAAGAACAGAAGACGCGGCTGGTTACTGAATAACTCAATAAGTATTTCTACTGACCAATGACAGCGAGTTAAGAAATCGATCCTGAGTTGTCCGATGCATTGAGAAACGAATAAGCTGCTGCACCATCGTTTCATATTTTACTTCCATCTTTGGAACAGTTGTAACAACAGCATCACCGATTTGATAAAGATGTTGGTGATGTAATCACTTTGATAACAAGTAATCAGTTATAGCATGTATATATGCAAGTTATCAGAGAATTTTGTTTTCCTAGTATAATTGCACGAAAAACTTCCCAAGAATTATAGTCGACTACGAAATTACAGACTGGAAAAGGAAAGGAAAAAGGAAAAACATTCGTTACTAAATAAACTTACATCATTAAATGAAGATAAATTTTGTTCCATCTCAGATCGATCAAGCGCTCTTCTGGGAGAAATTCCGAGTCCAATAAAGCAAACTAGAAGTAGCAGTACCGCCGGAGATTGAAACTAGAGCAGGTACTAACTAAGGCAATTATGATTGATCTAGGCAATTCTTCATTTGTCAGGATACGACGATTTAATTATTCAAGTAGTTTGGGGTTAGTTGGAAAACCTGACAGTCGTTTTGCACTTAGTTAAATATTAATACTTTGGAATCAAGGAATTTATAAAGTACAAAGCATAATTTTTGTAAATACTCGSAATTAAGTTGTATAAATTTTATTCCCCAATAGTAAGCACTATAAGTTCATCTAGCCTTGCGTTTTAGTATTCTTATATATTGCGTAATCACATGGTTTTATTTCACAACACCGAACGTTCACTCGATGTGCGCGGAATTAGTTTAATTATGGTCTAATTTCATTGGTTAAACCCTTCGCAAGACATTCCCTTTCGTTAAGAGGACGTCAAAAAATGACATACTTTTAATGAAATTTTGATCGTCTTTGGTTAAGTCTGTTGAAGTGTCTAATTATTCCGAAAACAAAATACGCAAGATTTTAACATTTTGTCAAATTAAAATTAGACATTAATAAGAAAGAAACGATGGCGCTCAGTATGGGGGTTGATATCGTCACGATTTATTAAAGGAGAATAAGGGATTAATAAACCAGCAGCAGCTCAAAATAAAACGTTCAATGTGTGCTAATATTCAGTGCAAACACTAGTGTTTATGTTTCTAATGTAAGAAAGGTTGAACACAAGTACTCAGTGTATATATATATATATATATGTCTAATTGGGAGACCCATTCAACTCCTTTGCAGAGTATTAATGGACATCGATCGATTTGTTAAGCGCGCAGCAAGCCAGTGCATTATTCATAATTTATGAATGGGTTCTCTCGACCCCCTAGAGAGATTGACTCCTTTTAAGAACATTCATAATCATGATGACTATGTGCAATTTTCTAGCTAAAAGTTTTAAATATTTAAAAAACGCGAATGTTTGACTAAACATCCTGGTCGAAACTATTCGCATTAAGTCCAGGTGATTTCGCTTATCAATATTTTCAAGTTCCAGGTTTTCAGCTCGATAAACAACCGCTTCAGGAAGTTACCCAAAAATAACGAAAATGAAATTTATACTCAGAAGGATTCACCAAATATTTTAGAAATTGATGGTTTTCACGGCGGCCATGTTGGAGGAACTTAACAAAAGAATTATCAATGAATTCTTTTGTTATATCCTCCAACATGGCCGCCGTGTCTTTTGTTATTTAATTCTCTTGGGAATGGTTGAAAATCATAAATGTCGTTGTTGTTAGTGGCGGGAAATATTTCGTTTTGACAAGAGACAATAAAAAATGTTCGCTCTTACAAACAATGCATTGCGCGCCTAGATTGCAAATCATCTCTGGGAGCCCTTGAGAAGATTTTCTTTCCAGGCTATCTCGTCTCTTGGTAACACAGGTAATCCGTTTCGGGTAACAAAAAARTGTTGACTGTACTAATAATGGTGTGTACACTAACAAAACAATCAAGAAGTACGACAGAAAAGATTATAACAAACACTAACAATTAAACCTACGACTAAATGGGTTATTCAAATAATTTACTTACAATAAATGTTGTCGTCGATAGAGTCGGCGTACTTCAACTCATGAGCTATAATTTCTGGCTATACCACTAGTATTATACGATTTACAACATCAGTACTGGAACTCTTACAATTAGTTCTACGATACAGTCATGCTTCGCCGATGTACATCATATTTAAAACGAGCGTAAAATATATAAAGAGGAGCAGCTTGATGATGAGTGTTGGGTGTCCGCCATCTTGTATTCGCCGGTTTGGCGTTTGATCCAGACTTGCACCTCGTTAAGGTCGTAATACACCCACAAGGGTGTTTAATATTCGTTCATCTTATCTAACGAGAGATCACTATGTAGTTTTAATAGGACCATCCTAGTAACAATCTGATCATCACAGCCATTAAAATATGACCTTTGAGCGTTAGCCGTGAACAAAGACAAAGATAAGGCTTTTTATCAATGTGCTGATCGTGATTATTGATGATGTCAAATAAACGAGGCACAATATTGAAAAAAAAAACCTTAGGATCCTATCTTCCTTTCATTCATCAATATCATTCAGTTAAAAACACTCAAGGACCGCGGCCTGACTTTGAAATTCAAGGTGTCTTTCACTCTACTGCATACCCATATTACGATCCCCACTTTGGTTTACAGACTATCTTTTGCCAAAAGTCATGTTAATGGATCCAGATTAATCTCGGCGCATTGATTCAATTAAATTCACTCCACCGCTCTGTTAGTTGTAGCTCAGCTGAAAACACACAGCGGCGCCAAATGCTTTTAATCTTTGGCAGAAAGATTATTACATCCTGCTACACAGTTTAATAGTGTGGTCACGCAACTTTCTCTTCTTGAATATACTTGCTACAAGAACATTACTATTAAAAGAACCCTTTTCTTGGCGCAGTGGGATAACGTTGATACGAGGATACGATACGAGGATCCCCTAAGGCGAACGCTAAGGAATTTTCCCGCCGGCGGGAAAAAACACTGTCCGGTCAACATCAGCGTGACACATGCATGCCGTTTTCTGCYGATTGCATCGATAGGGTTGTTTTCTTAGTATTTATTCTGATAAGAAGTGTTAGCAAGTGTTAGCATCGTTGACAGTTGAAACAAATGGTTTTTATCCCTATTCAGCAAAATGACTCAGTAAAATTTCATGTTCCTTGCCTGAATTCTCTAGCGATGTTGACACTATTATTGGTAATTCTGTCAATAAAGATCTTTAAGATAGAGGGAAAACGTCAAACCACCTAACGGCATATCAAACACACAACCAAATACTAAGTTTCCATGCAAATTGTCATTTCTTTATGTCCAACCGAATTTCGCTCAACGATAATAGCAGACTCCTAGCTCTAGTCGGATAAACCGACTGAGATTCTGTGCCTAAAATTCAGGTTACTGCTGTATTTGTTTACGTCACAACAATGGAAGACTTCTGGCTGTAGTCAGCAATATAAACCGACTGAGATTCTGTGCGTAAAGTTCATATACTGCTGTATTTGTTTACGTCACAACAATGGAAGACTTCTGGCTGTAGTCGACAATATAAACCGACTGAGATTCTGTGCGTAAAGTTCAGGTTACTGCTTTACTTGCTTACGTCACAGAAAGCCTTTAGTAAAAGATTTATCAAACTTCATATGAATAGGTTTCCCAAATTACATGTTTGACGCATGCAGTCGATCGCACCGGTTGCTTTGCGTCGTGTTTGGCAGAACACTTAAAGTGCAGCAAATTGAACCTTAATTTCGGTAACCGAAATGACGTCGAGGCAGATCAATTTTTAATCTTCATACGAGGTTCTAATGAATGAGAGCGCGCTTCATTCACTTAGTATGAATGAAAAAAACATGATATCAAAGGAATATTGTTCAAACGTTTTAGAATCAAGACTTTTTTTTCGTAATTTATTATTAATGCAAAGAAAGTGTAGCAGTACTTACCGATGGAAGTTTCTCGACATCTATCTTTGAACCACTCTGTTCCGTCACGATACTCTGTTCGTTTTAATGAACAGATACAGACTATTTATGCTTCTCAGAGCTCCCAGGAAAGTCAGTAATCGATAAACGATCGCCTAAACATATGCAACTTACGTAAAACTCTGTACTGAGCACTCATTGGTTTGCTAGAAAGAACGCAGCATCTGTCATGGTGAAGCTCAACTTGTTCGCCTCTTTTATAGCTTATGTGCTAGCGCTGTCACACATGTAATTAGCGTTAAATGTAAATCTTCATTCTCAAGGACATAAATGGTGGATGTAATTAATTTACGAGTGGCTATGTTTTGAATAGGCTCTTGTGTTCTGGCTGAAGGAAGTGCATTAGTAAAGTAAGATTGCTTAAGGATCTACCGATGTTACATGGTGATCATGTTTTGTTAGATAATAAAGTGGGATCAGATTCAAAAATCGTGCGGAATTCTTTGGCGAGTACTATACTAACACAAGTGCTATAAAAACCAGGAAAATAAATGAACTCTCTATCTTTCTCCTGAAAAAAACACCACCATTTCAAACGCTTATGTTATTATAGTTTTGAATTCAAAAAACGCTTAAGCCTAAATGGTTATCTTAATCAAACCATAAATCTAAGAATCCAATCTAAAGAGACGCGCAATGAACCGCATGGGCTCTGAGCTGTAACCACATACGGCCCGGAGCAGGAGCAGATTTTTACAGAGCAATCTCGTACGCAGACCCTAATAAGCTGCCCAAGATATATTATATTTACACTGATTCGAGTACTAGTTAAAGTCTTGAATTCTGATATATTTACAAATAAGAAATATTTGTCAAGTTTGAAGCATTCTGAATAGATGAACATGCGAAGAACAAATGTAATAGACCGCTTCGTTATAAAAACTGACAAAACAATATGTTTCCACTAACACAATGATGTGGATATGCGATTGTATCAAAGAAAAAGTATGCTTCCATCGGTAATTCATGAAAAAATAAATAATCAATTATTCATGAAAAATAAATGAAAAAAAATATTGAAAAACTCTAATATCTAAAAAGGAAGTAGCATAATGGGAAAGACAATGCAGAGTAAACGATGTTATGTTGAACCAGATATCATCTATTTATTCTAATCTCACTTTTCAAATGAAAAATCTCATTAGAATTTGAAGCATTTGTACATGAACCTATAAGATCGCAGCTTGAGACGATTCTGTTATTGAAATGGTTGTTTTGCATTCCAATCTCTTTTTTTTTTAAAACTCGCCTTGCTATGCACGACTATATATACTGAGTTGAATACTATTCACTTTGMACAGTTCCAACCTACGTGTTGTACTTTGAAACTGTTGATGAACGAAAAATAGATATGCGCCACCTAAACCAACACAAACTGAAAGATCACGTGTAACAAAGACATCTGATTGGTTGGTCATTGGTAAATTGACAGCTTATTCTGAAATTTCTATAAATGAGAAAAATATGAGAAAACAAACGTTAACCAATAGTTATATTGGCCAGTCTTTGAAATTGCTGTTTGTGGGTATCGTGCACGTATAAACGTGTAAATACGTGCTTTAAAAGCTTTAAAGTGTTTCAGTCAAGTGAACGAAACAAGAGTTAAGTAAGATACAAGAAACTATAACAACAACAAAAACAACCCGCGAGTGTCCGGATATAACCTTGATAAGCCTATGAGATTATCATACAATTATTGCTGTTTAACTGTGTTTATTCAAATGACGCGTCTTTTCTGGCTTGCTAAACAGCGAGTCCTGTTATTTTTGGAATCTGAAATTGTCCATTCTTAAACTCTCAATTACCCGATTTCAGTAGGGAAGTAAAAACAAAGAAATAGATTTAGGTTAAAGGAAAAGAAGAAATACACGTCATTTTCGTTGATCAAAAAAGATCTTGGCCAGGTGGTTCTCAAGATAAGACCTATTGAGATTTCGGTGACTATAGTCAACTAACTTCATGTGACAAGCATCTCATCATCCATCACTAAGATCTTTACTCTGTCAACTGAATTGCTTTGTTTTGTACACTAAAACTGGCATGAAATGCGACGTGTACTAATACCAGCGAACGTTCCGCTTTTCTGTATCGAAAATACGATACCGAACGCCTCTAAATAAAATTATATAATGCTATTATCGAATAATCGGATATTAAAGGATTACGAAATGTCATTTCTAGAAGTTTATGTTGGTGTTCCATTGTGTTCGTGAAGTAGCGTTAATTCGTTGCGTGATTTGGCGGGTATTTTCTTCCGCTGTATGCATGTCGATTATCAGCTGCACATGCGCAAGATTACTGCTGCCTTCATACTGCTCACATCTCCCTAATGAGATTTACTTGATATCTTTTGCCAAACGCAGTGAAAAACATGGTTCGTGAAACAACAATATGCATTTTGCATGGGCGAGGACATTTCGGGTTCTGTTATTTTTTACATCGTGCTACAACGTGATCTTTGTGAAGAGTAGCGAGATGACTCATCATTGGATCGCTACGTGTTCCTCTCAACAATCCCCCTCAATCTCTTTGTAGTGCTTCTGATAAAATCAATAATTTGTCAAGTTTAAGCACTTCATGGTTATTAACTGGTAGATAATCAAGGTAGTTGATCGTTTTAGCGCTAAACTAAGATTAACTCTAGCGTCGTTCTTGCAGAGATTGACAGTTGTCTTCCGTTATATTAAACCGATTACTCGAGGTTTCTCGTTCCGATAGTGATAAGGCTTTTTCTTTGTGATAACGAACGGCTACACGAAAGACGAACGAACAATGAACAAGTTAAAACAAAGGGGAAAAAACAAATATCAAAGAAAACTGAGTGGTTCCGTCTGTATCTGGACTTTGTTCGGCCAGTGTGGTATTTGATAAAAGAAACCATTTAATAATTCATTATTTGTATTTAATTATTAATCCATGCTTTGAACATTACGATAAAGAGTCGATAAATTTATAGTTTTACATGACGCTTACAGCAATCAACAGTTCTTTTAGAGACTTGGGCTGAGCGCATTTCTACTGATTGAGAACATGCGTTTACAAAATTTCATTCATATTAATGCTGATACTGTCTTATTTTACTGCAAATACAATTTGTTCTGTTCTTCTTGGAAGAAATTCAGAAATTGGAATTAAAAATTCAATTTGTGTGTGAGTTAATTGCACCCTGAAAGTAATGAAATGAAAATACCAAAAACATCAGATCAACCTGTTACCCGTATGAAGATATTTCAAGGCTGATCGTCATAATCTAGCTTCTAGATTTCTGATATGACATTCCGTTTAACATATGTCAACAAATATAATGTACGATTGGATTTAAAAAGCCCATCCTCTCCAGTTCGTACCCTTGGAGGGCTTTTACCTTGTTAGATGGCTCAGAAAAAAGGCAAGCAAATCAGGTTCGAAAAAAATCAAAGGCCTAGGCTTTGGGGTCCCTATGCCTTATGAGAGATAAGAGAGACTAGTGCCAATTCCTTTCCAATCTCCTTTTCTTTAGGTCTACAAAACAAAGGAACCCCAAAAGAGAAAAGTGAGAGGTGCCAGTAAAGGAGACTTGATATAGCACTAGCACGAGACATGAGTGAATCTGATAAACTAGCCATTGAAACCATCCATCATGACTGTATAAACCATACCATATCACATCTGTTGACATAATGAATGGGCTCCCCCCTGTATGTGTGTAGGTGTCCACATGAAACAGGAGGGGTTTAACCTCATCCTCCACCACCCTAGAACAAACAAACAAAAAGAGTTAAAAAACCATAATGATAATGGAGGTAGCCAATGATCATGGATCTGTAGATCTAGAAATCTTTCAAAATTGGAAGCCACAGGCATCAAAAGGTTGCAAACCTCAAAATATATGTAAATATTAATTTTTTTTGTCACCTTATCAAGGTCGATACCAATGTCTTTAAATTTTGTCATGTGACCTCCGCCATGAAGATGGGTTGCTTTCTGTAAAGAATTCGTACATTCACATTTGTTAAATTAGAAGGCTTGTGTTGATGACATACTAGCATGGCACGAAGTGAGGGAGGGGAGGGGGTCATCACAACATGGTGGGGAGGGGGGGGACCAATGTACCATTTTCCTGCCAATACACAAGAGTATGTGTATTCCCACCATATCCAAAGGAATCCTGCATTTATCAATGAAATCTGGCTCCAAGTGATGCAAAATAGATGAACAAATGGCAATTAAACAGAGCAGTCCCACATACAGCCCTACAATATTTAACAATATTTAGCATACATAATATAAACTTACTGAAGCCTTAGACTCTCTTTTCTTTACATTTTCTCTATCGGCACGAATCTATAAAATACATTCACCAAACCAAAATTAAAATGAAATTCACAAACGCCATTGAACATAAAAGCATTCATGGTTGTATTTCAAAAGTGTGTTTATTACTTGTGCTTTAATTCTTTCCTTTTCTGCTTTTTCGGCTTTTGCTTGTTCTTGTAATAATCGTCTTTCTTCTTGAAGCATCTTCTCCTTTTCTGTCATCTGTTTCATTTGATTTCAGACAACCACAGGGTTACCATAAAACAGTTCAATTTGTGGAAGATTATTTAAAATGCTGTACTTATTTTTTAGTACCATAATTATTTATTCCTAATGGATGTTTTATTATATAGAGATACTTACAGGTTGATCATCATGGCTTTTTGGCTTTGGTGATGGCACAGAACTAGAAACAAATTTTGAGTGCATATAATATTATATCTTATATACAACTTGCATATGATCCCCTTTATTTTATATCAATCAAATCTGTTGATATGATAGATTTACACAGAGAAATTTTCATCCAGGCCCTTTTTAAATCATAAGCATATGGCAAGTCTGAGGATTGAGCCTGGGTTGCATTGTTGAGAGACAAGCACTCTCACAGCTATGCTACCCATGCTTCTCAGCATAAAGTAAAGTAAAATAAGTATTTCATACCTCAGTCTCTTTTGTAGAACTTGCTTTACATCATTCACAGACAAATCAATGTGTCCATCATCAGTCTATAACACAGAATGAATCGTCAAAAATGCCTCAGAGTAGGAGGGTAGGGGATTCACCCAAATGATGCATTGGATTTTCCTTAAGAGAAAGAGGAAAGATAGTCTTACCTCAACCCAGCCCCAGACCATCAGAAACTGTTGAGCTTCAGGCAAACTCCATACTTTGGCATTAAAGGCCTTATTTTCTACTCTGATATGTCTGAATTTTTCATCATTAGGACGCTGGATTGCATTGCTACAATGAAGAAAACCTAATCAATAATAATAATACTATTGTTTAAAACGTTATCAAATACGTAGGTAAAATGTGCTGTGCTGCGAACAAGCAAAAGTTAATTTACTTTGCAAGTTTCAATAAGGTTTCCAAAGCAATTTTCACAGTCTCTTTATCATGACTTCTCCTCAGTTCATCTAGACATGCAAGCAGTCCTGATTCCTTCTCTCCTATACCAACAGCACCTCCACCCTGTACAATACAAACAATTTCAATCAGTGTACGTACATCAAAATACATAAAGTAGTACATTTAAATTGTCTATTCAGCGACGTAGCAATGACTTAAATTAAATAAAAACCACCAAAACTGATAAAAACGTATTTCACAAATCCAATGCCAGCAGGTACTTAGCATTATGTTGCGCAAAACCATTATTTTCTAAAAAGAATCTAAAGATATAAAATCGAAGTTCCTTACCGAACCAGTAGCCATTTTGTTTTCTTGTATGATATACCGCTGATTACAACAACCCAGAATCGCAGGCTTCCATCTTATGCGCATGCGCTGTTGTGCAGCTCCGCATTATCATATTTCTAATCTGTGGGCTCATTTTCATTTTATTTTATTTTTTGTTCCAAAAATAGAACAGAGTTTCCTCAAGTTTCTCCGTTTTTTTCTCTTCTAATTAGCCTATGATGGAAAAAGGGAATAAGGAGTAATGGCAAATGTTTCAGATAGGCCCTTGTTTTTGGGTAAAGGTAGAGGAAGAGGCCGCGGAAAGCCTTCACATCCAGCAACACAAAACAAGAACGCTTGGCACAGAAAACCTACCATCAAACAAAATGAAAAAGTGGAAAAAAATGGAAGCGAGCCATCGAAGGAAAGAATGGAAAAAGCAAACAGGATTAAAGAATCTGCCAAGAAGTTCATTGGAGATGAATATCTGGAAGATTCGTCTGAAGATGAAGAAATAGAAGATGAAAATATTATGAGTAACACTTTGAAGCGGTATACCGACACGTCACACGGTACGTATGTAAGATTGTTATAATAAACTGTACTAAAATGATTGCTTGGAATATCAAAAGTTAATTGTGCTTCTCGACTAAGACATAATGAAAGATCAAGCTTGTAATTTCATAGCTTGTAATTTCATCAAACTGTTGTTATTGTAAAGAGGACACACTGGGATCCCAATAGCTATTGGGTGGGTAGGTGAAGGGATAGATGGAAGGTGTCAGGTTACCTTTGTTATAATTATCGTCTATGACATCAGCTTTTCGCAAGGAGGAACACGTGCTGAAATGTACGAAAAACAAATGCATAAATACATCTCTYGTCTTGTAAAATCTCAGTCAGCATTTCCATCTGATTAGTCAACCAGCGGCAATTTCAGAAGGAAGTGGGTTATGATATGAATTTCATTTTCATTGTAGATTTTATGTAATGGTATTTTTATTTTCTTACAGAAAATGACATGCACAAAAATGCAGCATTGAGTAAGACAGCACAGTATTTAATAGACTCCTGTCGTCCTGGTGCACAAGTCTGTCTTATCTGTATCGCATCCATCAAACATGTTGACGCTGTAAGTGAGAATCCATTTAACAGTGTAAGATTACCTCAGGCCTTAATCAAAACTTATCTATTTATTTTCCTGTTTAACAGGTATGGAGTTGCGAACAATGTTTCTCAATGTTACACATCAATTGTATTCAAAAATGGGCCAGAGATGGTGCAATACAAACTTCAAATTTGTCACAAGAAAATTTCCCAGCTGTTGAATTGAGCTGGTTCTGGTATGTAGATATATGGCTAAGTGTGGCTAAGTCTAATTTGGACAATTAAAATAAAAATAGAGGTGTGGCTGACCAGCAATTTCTCTCTTAATGCCAATATGTGTGGCCAAAGGGGAAACCAGGGCCTCCTCATGCAGATCATTGCAGATTAATTCCATGCTTTTTTGCTAATGATTTAAGTCATACATTATAGCTGAATTGGGTTGCCTGTGTCAAGTAATGCGATGGAACTTCAAACCTAATAAGAAATAAATATAATCCAACTGTAAAAAATTATTAAAGCTGTGAACAATACCTTTTTAGCCCCAAATGTAGATATGAGTTCAAGCAATCAGAGTGTCCAACAAGATACCATTGCTTCTGTGGAAAAGAGGTCAGTTGAAAGCATCTTTCATTCTTTATGCTTAATTCTTGCATTGATTTTCTCTTTGTTTTTTTTTCCCACCTTCAGCAAGATCCCAAGTTTGATCCATGGATCGTACCCCATTCCTGTGGACAGACCTGCAGTAAACCTCTTAAACCAGCATGTGGACATGAATGTTTATTGCTGTGTCATCCAGGTATATACATCTATCAACACCACCATTTATCTGTCCAAAAAATTCTATATTATAATAAATCATTAACTGTGTGTATTCAGGACCATGTCCGCCATGTCCCAAGACTGTCAGAGCGAAGTGTCATTGTGGTAGCAAGGGTCCAGATACAAGGAGATGTGGTTCGAAAGAATGGTCATGTGGTAAACCATGTGGGAGGTTGCTTTCATGTGGACATCACAATTGTCAAGTTCCTTGTCATTCTGGTATGATCATTTGTAATGTATCATTAATTATAAGTTCTTATATTGTCTTTGTTCTATAGCAACCAGGAAACCCTACCTCACTCTTAGCAAGTGCAAATTAATGTGTACGCATCTGCCATTCAAATGCAAAATGTTTTTTTAATTCTATTCTTTCTTAATTTCTAGGTGATTGTCCTCCATGTTCAAAACAGGGTCCACAGTATTGTCTTTGTATGAAGAAAACAACCATAAGACCTTGTGATAGCCCAGAATGGCAATGTGATCAGGTATGTGTATCAATGAGTATTAGGATAAATCTCTTTTGAAAGCCAAAGTATTGAATTCCAATTAATTCTTGCAGTACTGCATACATTATTATTGTGCAACTCACAATAATATTGGCCATTGTTGTTTTTTTTTTGTTTTGTTTTTTCATTTTGTTTTTTTCTAGGAAAGTTGCTGAGAATGCATCTCAATATTAGTAACTCCAGCAAATTTGAATGTGTTTTGTTGAAATGAGCAAGAGTTACAAGCCTTCATAAGTATCAAATAATAAATTGCAAAGAATAAATTATACAGTCTGGGGGACCCTTCTCACCCCTCATCCCTTGCATGAGATATTGTACACTTTCTCTTCTTTATATCAATGAAATATTTTTCAGGTTTGTGGAAAAAGCTTGTCCTGTGGTTTTCATGTGTGTGAGAAAGTTTGTCATGAAGGTGAATGTGGTGATTGTCCAAGGGCTGGTGAAAGAAAGTGTCCATGTGGGAAAACAAGTATGTGTAGATACTTCTCTTTAATCACTTTACTTTTGTATCATCACCATTATTGCTCTTTCTGCCAAAAAGTGCATAAGGCCTTTTGCTTTTGAAAGAATGTAGAGAAGAATATGGGTACATGAAAAATTGCAGCTCATGAAAGAGTATTAGGTGTCCTACTACCAAGACAATTAGCATAAAAAAGCTTATTGAAAGGGATTCTGGTAGTGCCAGGTATAAAACGTCATCTGGTTTTTTTTCATTGTCTTATTCTTACTTCATGTCTTCTAATTTTACTACCGTCTTCACTTTAATGTCATATGTCTTCTTTCCAAGCTGTTGCCTTGCCTTGTACAGAGGACATTCCTACTTGTGGAGACACTTGCGATAAGGAGCTGGAATGTGGTCGTCATTTTTGCACCCAAAAGTGCCATTTTGGACCTTGTGGGACATGTCGTCAGATTATCAATAAGAAGTGTAGGTGTGGTAAGCGTGAGAAACAGGTGCAATGCTACATGGAGTACCTGTGTGAGTCTAAATGTACCAACATGAGGCAGTGTCAAAGACATCAATGCAAGAGAAAGGCAAGAAACTATAACCTTTTTTCAAAGTTTATCCTTTTTCCCTACGATTCTATTTGTTCAGCATTTGGATGCCCCAAGATAAGAATGGCTAGTAAGCACTCCTATAGAGCAACTGATATATCTCGAAAACCCCTACCAGATGTACCTGATGTATTGAAATTCATGTGTATTAAAACGGCCAAAGGGATTGATCAAAAAACAATATGAATCAAATACAAGATCTTTGATTAAAAACCTAGATCAAGATAGCTTTTTCCAAGATTTTTCCACGAAAATGATGTTTCGCAAGACGCCTCTCAAAGAGGTGTCGAATATTGATTGTTAGTAGGAAGAGCGCGCGCACGTTTTGTGCTTCGAATTTCAGTAAACACGTCACAATAAAGATCTGGCTACGTGATACGCAATAGGAAACTGAACCATACGAAAAAGCTAGCTTAGCGATGGAAAACGAACAACACGAAGAGCTTGTAGTCGTATCCGAATGTGAATCTTGCGATGACAAAGATGATGAGGTGGAGTTTCTCTCTTCCGTTTTACTTCGCGCCATTCAACACATCCTTGTATAGTTTGCATAAATATCAAGCATTTCATTGATTGACAGTCTGCGCTTCGGCCTTCCATGAATTGTTTCAAAATGTCATGCAGCGCTAACACTAAAGAAACTAAATCAGAAAGATAGTAGATTAAAATTCAGTCATTTTCGCGTTGTTATTTTACATTTCTTCATCAATTTGTTTGTATATTTTCTTCGTTAGTGTTGTGATAATAACTGCCCACCGTGTGAGCAAGTATGCGGTAGAACTCTAAATTGCAAGAACCATAAATGCAGCTCACCGTGTCACAGAGGTAATATCGAATACAAGATCATATATAATAGAAGAATATTAGTTGTTATCAGAGCTTTCGCGGAGGACGCAACAAATACTTGTAATAGTGGGTGAAAATAGGTAGAAGAGTCATTGGAAGCGGGATGATAAAATATGATGGAAATAGTGACGGTACGGATGATGATGCTTGATGAAGAGAATGGTACGGATGATGATGCATGGTCATGATCATGGTCATGATGATGATGCATGGTGATGACGATGATGATGATGATGACGATCATCATGGTGGTGGTTGTGATGATCATGATGATGATGGTGTTGTGATGACGATGTTGATGATGATGGTGGTTGTGATGACGATGATGATGATGATGGTGGTTGTGATGACGATGATGATGGTGGTTGTGATGACGATGATGATGATGATGATGGTAGTTGTGATGATGATGATGATGTATGGTGATGATAATGTTTGTTTGTCAATCGTTAACAGGTCAGTGCTACCCCTGTCCTCTAACTGTAAACGTCAAGTGTTTCTGTGGTGACACGGTCCTTACTCTGCCATGTGGTTTGGAAAAGACTACTAAACCTCCTAAATGCCAAGAACTCTGCAAGTAATACCTTCTCTCGAGTATACTTCGTATTAGACTTGTCTATATAGCATCTATAATACTCGTGCCGACAATTAGAATCAACTGTTTAGTTAACCGTTAAATATTTTTGCTTAATCAACAGGCATCCGTCTGACTGCCATCATCTACAGCGTAAGGTTAGTGGTACATACAATATATTAAAGCACGGCTTACAGTCAATCAGACCACGTCTGCAGCGTAAGGCTAGTGGTAATCGAGGCACATACAATATATTAAAGCACGGCCTACAGCCAATCAGACCACGTCTACAACGTAAGGTTAGTGGTATAAGGCACATGGCTTACAACCGATCAGACCACGTCTACCGAGTTGTTACCTTACTTTTACCTTTTCTTGGAAGATTAGTTCATTGGGGCCGTGTTAGTGAGTCGTAAAACAAGTGTCGCTTCTTTTTTTTCTTCTTATTGTACAGCCACATCGATGTCATTACGGTGATTGCCCACCATGCAAACAAACTTGTGATAATCCTTTACCAAACTGTGACCACACCTGTCTCGAGCCTTGCCATGACAACGTACTGGATCAATCCTTCATACCCAAGGTATAGAGCTGATAAGTTGTGACGTATTTCCAGGTCCGACGTCCAACTGTTCACAAAAACCACTAAAACCTGAAACAATTAGATATTTAGACAGTTGGAGAGTCAATACTATGTGATGAATTGCACATATTCTCCAGGGCTCCCATTGTTAGCAGAGCTTTTTATTAGTTCTGAAGGGACTACCCTGGCTTTATTTATTTTTGAATAAAGGTTTCATTCTTTCATTCCTTGTATTTCATTTGATTTGTTTCCCCACTAACGTAAGGTTGCTCGGTCATAATACAGCATTGACTCGTTATCTTGTAGGCTCCTGTACGTCAGTCGGCGTGGGGGCGTGTTCGTCAGCCAGAACCAATACCTATCATTCATAAGGAGTGTCCACCCTGTCGCTCACCAGTAGAGAGGTACATAACTGTCTAACCCATCACTCAACCATTTTTTGTCCCGTCCCCTCTTCTCCACTTTCGGTGCAACTAATCATTCATTTTTTCATTTTTTTCAGGAAATGTTTTGGAGAACACGAGGTAGTCACTCTTCACCCAATTATAATTTTGGAACATTTATCGCCGACTTATCATTCTAAATTTCCTTTCTTTTTAGTCCCAGACCTTCCCGTGTTCTGAAGCAAAGCGGTATTTGTGTTGCAGACCATGTGGACGCGCATTGGCTTGTGGGAATCATACGTGTGAGCTCGAGTGTCATTACGTCACAGGAGCAGAGAATGAGAAAGAGGTAGATAAAAACATCCTTTCCGCTTACTACAACATGGCGCAATTATTGGAAGATATTTTGTTATATTTAATTATTAAAGTTTGTATTGACGATTTCTTCTTTCCTATCCTCGGGATGAATACTTTTACAGGCTGGACAGGAATGCCAAGTATGTGAAGAACCATGTAAAAAACCACGTACCAAAGGCTGTACGCATCCTTGTGTACGCCCTTGCCATCCAGGTAATCAAGCGAACATCAAAGTTATTGGCCGTTCCGAGGTTGAGGGGAAAAAGTGGGTCGAGTTACAGTGCATTGTGGGAATGTTTGCGACGCCACCTTAAAAATATATCCCTAAAAGAGTCCCGCAATGCATTGTAATACCAACTCGACCCAATGTTTTCCTTAACCTAGGAACGGCTGTTTTGATGGAATACACTACCTTCAAACAAATTTGCCGACTTTCATGGGCGTCACATCTTGATCGACTACCTTCTATCATTGTTGTTTTAGGGAAGTGTCTTGAATGCAAGCAAATGATCAAAAAGCAATGCAACTGCCAGCTGATGTTTGTGTATGTCAAATGCAGGTATGACGCAACAATACTTTTAATAATATTAAAACTTAGTTTTTTATTGAGGGGGACACAGAAATAAGTTAATTGATTGTTTCAGTTCTTTTTCTATATTATTATTTCCCTTTTTTTCAAAATTGTGGTTTCACCGAGTGAATACAGCATTTCCATCCTCTGGCAGGATTTATTCATGCACGTTGTTCATCATATAGTCATGTTATGTTGTATCATCATGTACACAGCGAGTGGACAGCAGCAGACCAAGACAAGCATGCTCTTTTGTTGTCGTGCAAAAACCAGTGTCCCAAGAACCTACCATGTGGACATCGATGTACTGCTGACTGTCATCCTGGACCCTGTCCTAACTCCAACAAATGTAACAAGAAAACTAACATTAAATGCCCTTGCAAACGAAGAAAGAAGGTGAATATCACCCACCTTGTGTATTAATCACTTTTGATTGAATTACGCTGGTGAGATCAATTTTGTAAGATTTTTAAAAGCACAGCACTTTTACGGTACGAAATACGAAGCCCACCACCCTCACTTTAAAACCCTAGGGCACAATATCCGCACGATAACCTTATCTGATCAATCACTTCATGAGATCAGTTCACATACCGAAACGCGTATCAAGGAAGATGGGAAACAAACGGTACTCGCTAACGACACGTACACAATACGATATACCGTAACGGGTGAAATGGCTTCCCATTGTCTTCTAGTAATTCATCCAATCACAGTACGGGTTACGTGCGGTAAGATAGTACGGCTATATTTGACTTATTTACCCCATAGTACGGCTATATTTGACTTATTTACCCCATAGTACGGCTATATTTGACTTATTTACCC